TAAACCTGATTTTAGAGCTAGTTTAGTTCAGTGCATTTCTGGTATATCCTATGAATGAATCCAATCAGTGAAAAATGTGCTCTACCAAATGGTTTAGCGGGATGTTAAAGGGTTCAGGCATCTTTGTGGTGTGCAAGGCAATAAAACTCACAACAACTGTCTGATATTTGTTTCTTTAGCTGCTCAGGTGATCATGAAGAGAGACCTGGCCGCTGCTCTCCTGAGGAGTCGGAGAGCTGCTCCAGGAGGAGACCTCAGCCCCCTGCAAATGGAAAGGTACGGCCGGTGGAAAAAAGCGAGTTCAAAATGACAACAGAAACAAAGGTGATCCGTGACACGCGTTGTCTGACGTCGTCTTTCTTCCTCCCGTCTTTTTAGCCTGAGAGAGGTGTGTGAGCTGAACGTGGCCTGCGACGAAATGGCCGACACTCAGGGGATCGTGGCCGCGTACACCGCCTACTACGGACCTGTCCCTTTTTAAGTTGAAGACTCCTCTTACATGTGCACGCAGACAGGGTTTTTTTGTCTGTCTATTGGTAATTGTAACAATGCAACAACTCCCCCAAAGCTAGAGAAGGAGCAGGAAAGCCAAAATAAATAGATGGCGCATGCCAATCTACTGGTGCTAAGTGGAGAAGTTTTTAGTCGCTGCAAATGATTGTACAAGTGACCAACTGAGGTGGTCCTGTATGTAAAGGCCTCATCCGGCCTGTGAGCAACTTAGAAAAGCCCCTTACAATTGTAAATTATTCCCTTTCCCCCCTTTATACAGTGGATGGTACATTGCAAATGTCCTTTGCGTTTACGTTGTTTTGTTTTGTTTTTATATCGTGGCTTGGGTTTACTTTAGTGGCAGTTCTAGAGAGTAGTGGATCTATTAATGAGCTGATGGTGGTCCTGTACAGTATTTGTAAAACACACATCAGCTCTCTGTAATGTCTGTAACCACATATTGCCTCTGGTTTTTGAAAATAATAAATTATTTTTGTTTTTTGACAAAATGTCGAGTCATCCTTTCATGCAAAAAACAGTGTTTTCGTTTGCAGATCTGAACACCTTTGAAGGTGTGAAAACAGGGAACCTTTTAAGTGCATTCTGAAAATGATTCTCATAAAGCCCTCTGGGTTGCACTGGCATCTCTAACATATGCTTACTAGACTGTTCTGAGGACTTTGTCTGCTGTTTTGTCCTTGAGTTTTAACTAATTACCTTTTTTATTTTTTATTCTCCTATTGCCTGCAGCTGTTTTCAAATGAGGCAGAGGACATTAATGAGGGCCCCAAATAACCCTGCAGCGAAAAGCGGATTCTGATTTTTTACGAGCTATCTGAGACTTCTGACACACTCAAGCAAGCCCACATATGCATGTGCAGTTACCAAAACCACATTGGAAATGGTAGTTCTGATGTGTTCCAGCTGGGACTTTCACACATAGACATGTCCAACACAAAGGGGGTCACAGGCTGTCCTCACATGGCACGTACTGTTCCTAGAATCACCATTAGATGGCAATGTAGTGCAGCCAGAGATATTTCTAAAACAGGATTTAATTTATCATTTCACCAAAACATAAATGTGTACACAATGTACACACATACGTACATATTTACACATTTGGTCAAATGCAAATTGATTTGCTTTAAATACATATCTGCCTGTGAAATCCAGCATGCTCATTGTTGTACATACTGAATTTGTATATCCAACAGTTTGTAAAGGAATGCGGTCATCACAAAAAGACGTATGATCATTTCTGCAAGTGATCTCAAACATGTTATATAAAAAAAGATCATGTCATAACTTCTAATATGCACAGTGGACTCTTTGCCAGATAATCACAACAGTTTTATTTGAAGTACGAAAAGTGGAGAAGATAATGCAAATGAAGTATCAAGCACGCTCTTTTCTCCATTACTGCTGTGATTACTACAGAATGAGATGGAGGGAAAGGGACCAAATCGGGGCATAACGTGATTAAATCGGGAGGGCCGGGAGCTGAGGTCATCAGTCTGAGCTGAGATCTTACTTTCCCCAGCCACTGTACCTCACCCAGCTCATCTAGCTGTACAGAAGGCACTGATCTCTCTAATGTATCCTGGATCTGCTCTTAAGCCATTCATCCTATAATTCTGTACTTTACATTACAAGAAAGAAAAAATTGTTTCGAATTCGAATACACATCAAATTCAGAACTTTGTATTGAGTCAAAATCCTTTTTCATTTTTCTATTCATGCAAAGTACTCTCTGTTTGGGCCTGTCAGCCATGCTTGGTTAAGAAGGACCTTTTGAAAATGGAACTTTATTGACTTATGAAGTGAAATTGTGATAATCAGGAGGCTTAAAGTTCAAATCTGACAGATGCAATAATTCACACCCAACAATGATGCTAAAACTGGGCTTGAGCAATATAGTTGGGAGGAAATTTTGTTTGTCTAAGGGGTGTATATAGATTTAACTTTGAATTTAAGTCGTTAAACCCTGTGATAAATATTTGAAACGTAACACTTTTCCAGTGAAAGCTGAGCAGATTAGTGTGCGCGTGAATAACCGGAGGAACACATCGGTTCAATGTACAGCCACTTTGTCATTACCAGGAAGGGCAACCCACTCACTTTTCCAGCAGAGGGATGCTCCACCTCTTCTTAAAAATCCCCTCAGCCTCAGCAATGTCATGAACACTTAGGGTTAAAAGACACATCTGATGTTTTTCCCGTCCAGATACGCCGCAGCAGAAAATTCAACTGCAATTAACTGATAATTTCATCATATCTTATTTAAGGGAGATGGTCACTGGAAAGATAAGTAATAAATCTGAGCTGATATTGATACGATTAGTTACATAAACTTTGAGTGCTTTAGATAATGTTGAAGAAGATAAAGAGAAGCTACTTTAAGCAGCTGAACGTTTCTCCCAGAATCAACTCAGGTGAGTCACGCATGCCTCCGGGACTATAAATTCTGATATGTTGTTCCTTGACTCAGAGTGTCCTCTTTGTAAAGCCCATCTTTGTTGTTCAGTTGCTGCTTTGCTTGTAAGCATAGTCTCGTTTGAATGATGGACTCCAATAAAAGGAATTTATGCCTGTGATAAGTGTTGTACAGTCACAAATTGATGTTATTGTTCCATGTTTGACTTTGTTAAATTTCACAGATGATTACTGTTAAATGTAAATTTAGATGAATGAGTGGCTAGAGGTTCATATCACATCACCTTCTTTTGAGGAAGTAGTTATCTTTAGCAGGACAATTATTTGTATTCGACATGACAAAGTATTTATTATATGTTGCATGTTTTAGTCTAGTTTAGTTTAGAACAAACATAAATGTATTGCCAGGTCTGATTCAGTTTTACCTCATCCTGCTTTTATGTTTGGTTTTGTTGCATTTTTTGTTTTCATTTGTTTAATTTCTCTAATGTTTGGACAGCCAACCTCTGCAGCAGCTTAGCCGGAGTTTGTTTTAGTTAATAAAAAGTTTATATCACCTTGCATCCCATCTATGTTTTGATCATCTCTTCTCATACTTGCTGAAACCATGTTCCCATGATCCTGTGTTTCTCAACTCTATGCAAATCAGATCCAGGAAAAACACACTCGAAGAAGTCATTCAAAAGGCTCAGTTAAGGGTCACCCTCTGTTTTAGAGGAACAATGTGTACAACTTGGCCAAAAGTTGATTTTGAAGTGTTTGAGCAGATGTTTATGATTCACTTACAGATTTCCTACTTACTTTAAATTGTTATGTTTGAAAAGAAAAGAAAAGAAAAGAGTACAATTCCATCCATTTTCGTAACCGCTTATTCCCAAATGGGTTTACGGCGGGACTGGAGCCTAACCCAGTAGTCAATGGGCAAGAAGCAGGGTACACCCTGGAGTAAAGGCCAGTCCTTTGCAGGGCCACACAGAGACAAACAACCATGCACACTCACTCTTAAGGGCAATTTGGAATGTACAATCAACCTCAATTTCTGGACAGACACAGGGAGAACCTGCAAACTCCACACAGAAAGGTCCTGGTTCCCTTGGGGACTCAAACCCAGAACCCTATTGTTGTGAGGCGACGGTGCTAACCACAACACCGCCAAAAAGAGTACAGTTATATTTTTAAAAGACATGTATAATATTCTATTTAATTTGACTTACACCATAGTTTTTTAACCTCAATTTCACAGACGTGATGTGTCTCAGGAATGAGATTCACAACACACCTGAAATTAATCTTTTTTTATGTAATTTGATAAATAAAAGCAAACAAACCTACAGGGTAAAACTGCCAGTGTCATAGTTAGCATGTTCTCCCTGTTTGCTAGTTCTCTCTGTTTATTCTTTGTTAATTCATGCAACATGCATACAGATTGATTGGTGAGTCTAAATTGACTCTCGGATTAGTGTTGTAGTGCATGGCTGTGTGTTGTGTCTTTGTGTGGCCATGTGACGGGCTAACACCTCACCCTGAAATGGATCAAGCGGGTATAAAAAAGGATATGTAACATCTCTTAATGATTAAATGTGTCTATGTTTAACACATGAGCATGTTAGAGTGTCAGTGGACTGCATGTAAACTATGTTTGATACCTAGTTGTGTATCTTTAATACTGACATATTGATTACCTATTATTCACAGGCTTTGTACAGGGCTTAAAGTCATGTGACAGAGGTCTCTGTCGTTTATAACTTACCAACTCTTACACAACATTAATTTAACGCTCACAAATATAACTGTCCAGAAAGTTCAGGCAGAAAATGTCCTGGAGTTGTAAAAGAAGGCTGTTCAGAAAGTCAATTATTCAAAGATAGTGATGGTCAGGTGTTTTGATACTGACCATGCCTAATTCTTAGAAGTCTTTATTGACTTAATTACCAGAGACACCCATATAACATTGATAAGAGGGAAATTAACAACGTATACAAACAAATAAAGGGTCTGAGAAATTTTGAAAATGATGAGTGAAGTGATTTATGGCAGGTGATTATTGAAGTGACTCAGTCAGTCCAGTAAATGGTTTTATGGTTTCTTTTTTAATTGAAACATAATTATTTTTGAAGACATAGCATTCAACTTTAAAAGAAACAATAAATATATAAAACATTTAGTAGATGCTCATTCATCTCATTTTCACACTACATATTCCTTGAATACAATTTTAAAAACTTTTTAATTACAAAATGATTCTACACCTTAAAACGATGTGTTAAGGCTCTCTGTGCTTCCTTCAGACAAATGCAAAAGATGAACCTTCAAAACATGATCACTCCAAACTCTCTCTGGTTGGATTTGAAATGCTCTTACACAAAGGTCATGGCACATTTAGATTACACTCAGTTTACAGCACTTAGAATAAAATGATGGTTTCAATATTCAATTGCCAATGTTAATTAAAAACACTTTCCTGTTGTGCTTGTTTTATTTTTAGGAAGATTCAATAGCAGTTTGATCATCATGTTTCAGATAGAAAGCTAAATACAGTAGTTTTGCTTGTAAATTTTTTTAGAATACACCAAATAATTGCACATTTTTCCTACAACACAACCAACAATGCTCTAAAAAAGTTTTTTTTTGTGGGTCATATGATGTGCTGGAGTTCAGTTAGCTCCTGTGCACATATCAAGGAGCAGATGTGTGAAGTATCTTCTTTGTTTTTCCCACTTAAAGACCAAATCCAATATTATCCTGGGTCACACACTTCAATTGTCATTTACAAGCAGTACTGCTATTGTTAAAATTTTCTTATAAAATTGTGCTATTATTATTTATCAAGTCAAGAAAAAACAACACTATGAATGGAAACTATTAATCAAGGAATGACTCCAGATCTATTTTATATTTGACACCATTTTTGAAAACAAATGCCAGAAGGCACCAGAGGGGTTGAAGAGTTGATATATATAAAGTCACAGAGACGTTAAGGTGGACCCACCAGTTGGGTTTCCATTAACTTTTTTTTTTAATTTGCATTGGTTCCGTAATAACAAGTGACCTGTCCAGGGTGTACCTGCCTCCCATCCCAACATACAGCCCAAGCATGACCCTGAAATGGAGTAAGTGGGTATGGAGAATTAATGAGAAAATAATTTCAAAGGTTATAAAAAACTGCTCCGCTGAGTTTGTCTTTCCTTTTTTTGGGTGGGTCAAGCTCTGCCAGCTCTGACTAACTTAAAGATACAACTAGTTAGATTTCTGATGAACATTAGCTGTTTATGTTCATGGCCTAGTAAAATAATTTATATTCGATAGCTGATTTTTCATCTTTGGTCATGGAAACCTGAACTGTAAATAGGGATGGCTGAGTAATAAATTACTTTAAGACAAACAAACATGTTGTTGGTTTAGTCCTCTCATGGCATTTTTTGTCTCTTGGTCTTATGCAGCCATTTCTCTCTTTACACATAAAAGCAACAATATTATTTAGAAGCTCGTTGTTTATTGTGCCATGACCAGTTTGCTTCATTGCACCACACCGGCTTTACGCACAAAAACACAGTTAAACTACCTGTTTAAAGCTGGGTCATTTTCAGAATGTTGAGCTCTAACTTTATCTCATCTTCCACTTCTTTCTCTGCACTCATTGCAGGGTTGTCATACACAGACATGTGCATCCTCTTGTCATTCTTCACAGATTCTTCGTCTTCGTGTTCTTGGTCACCTACTGTCGTTTGGCAGCATTTACAGCAACAACAGCATTTTGCTGTACACATAGTAACCACTTTATCCCATGGCTCTAGGGAGTGGGCCCAGAGTGGGAGAAAGTCCCATGATCGCAGTGCTGCTGGCAGACAACCTGGTTTCCGTTTCTGAAGCACATTGATGACCACGATAATGATCAGAATGACCACAATTGGCACACCTACGCCCACCAGGACCTTCCAACCAGCCAGTGACAGGCTGAACACCAAGAGCGGTAAAAAGAAAAAGCACAAGATGATGTAGACAGCAGCAAACCAGCGGTAGTTGGCCGTGACGTTCCCCAAACTTTTAGCCATCCGGATGGGAAAGCGGGTGAACGGGATTGGGTACCAAAGAATGATGCCCGAGATGTTGAACAGGAAGTGCACGAGGGCAATCTGTAGGGATTGGCACAATATTAATGTTATTTTCTCATGAATTATTGCTCACTATCTTTTAATAAATTTTTCAAATGAATGTTTTCTTAAAAGATTTTGGCTTTATACTACATAATTAGAGATGTAATTTCTTCTAATTTTTAGTGGGAAGAAAACCACATGCACAGATGTAGAAATCTTGGTGAATTGCCACATTTCAGGCTTCAAACATGAAGATATAAAATTGTAATTTTTTGTGAAGAATCAACAACAAGTGGGAGACAATCATGAAGTGGAGCAAAATATATTGGATATTTCAAACTTTTACAAATAAAAGACTGACAATTTGGGCCTGCTAAATTGTTCATTGGATGGATGGATGGAGTTTTCAGTTCTTTCCACAGATTCTCGACTGGATTCAGGTCTGGACTTTGACTTGGCCATTCCAACACCTGGACATGATTATTTGTGAACCATTCCATTGTAGATCTTGCTTAATATTTTGGATCATTGTCTTGTTGGAAGATAAATCTCCATCCCAGTCTCAGGTCTCTTGCAGACTCCAACAGGTATCTTCCAGAATGGTCCTGTATTTAGCTCCATCCATCTTCCCATCAATTCTAACCATTTTCCCGTGTCCCTATTGATGAAAAGCAGGCCCAAACCATGATTTTGCCACCATCATGTTTGACAGTGGGGATGGTGTGTTCAAGGGTGATGAGCTGTGTTGCTTTCACGCCAAAAATAACGTTTTGCATTGTGGCCAAAAAGTTTGATTTTGGTTTCATCTGACCAGAGCACCTTCTTCCACACGTTTGGTCTGTCTCCCAGGTGGCTTGTGCATACGTTAACCGAGATATTTTTATGGATATCTTTAAGAAATGCCTTTTTCTTCCAAATCTTCCCTAAAGGCCAGATTTGTGCTGTATACAACTGATCGTTGTCCTATGGACAGAGTCTCCCAACTCAGCTGTAGATCTCTATAGTTAATCCAGAGTGATCATGGGCCTCTTGGCTTCATCTCTGATCAGTCCTCTCCGTGAGCTGAAAGTTTAGAGGGACGGCCAGGTCTTCGTAGATTTGCAGTGGTCTGATATTCCTTCCATTTCAATATTATCGCTTGCACAGTGCCCCTTGGGATGTTTAAAGTTTGGGAAATCTTTTTGTACCCAAATCTTCTTGGGTATAAAAATTCTCCGCTACAGTATCAGGGACCTGCCTGGTGTGTTCGTGGCTCTTCATGATGCTCTCTGCGCTTTAAACAGACGTCTAAGACTATCTCAGAGCAGGTGCATTAATACTAAGACTTGATTACACACAGGTGGATTATATTTATCATCATCAGTCATTTAGGTCAACATTGGGATCATTCAGAGATCCTTACTGAACTTCTTTGACAGAGTTTGCTGTACTGAAAGCAAAGTGGCTGAATCATTTTCAAGGCCCAAGTTTTCAGAAGTTTGAAATATCCATTAAATTTCGTTCCACTTTATGATTTTGATCTACTTGTTGATTCTTCACAAAAAATGTAATTGTATATCTTTATGTTTGAAGCCTGAAATGTGGTAAAAGGTCGGAAAGTTCAAGGGGACCGAATACTTTCGCAAGGCACTGTAAATTAAACCTTTGAGCTAAATGATTAGCTCCCATGGTTTGTCCAGAATTACAACTGTCATCTAGATGTTCTTGAAAGAAAATCCTAGCATTTTGAAATTGCATGATGTGTACAGTATATTCTTGGATTTCACAATTAACAGTATCGCTCATAGGAGAGGTGTCTTCAAAGAGGCTAATCTAATCATGTAAAAGTTCAAAGGGCAAAAGTGTTCCCCAACGTTGTTTGAACCATAAAAGTTGCATGGCCAATCACGGTGCTGCGATGGGCCATAAATGTTATATTTTCAGATCTCTCTCTCACTCTCTCTCTATAAATACAAACATATAAATACAAACATACACACACACACACATACACACACACATACACACACACACACATATATATATTTATATATATATATATATATATATATATATATATATATATATATATATCTACAGAGAGAGCTGGAAAGAGGGGGAGACTCAGTGTCGATTACTCACTTGTAGAGCATCTGCCAGTGTGTCTCCTGGACTGGCCATGGCTGCCAGAATGGCTGTGGTTGTGGTGCCAATATTTGAACCCAAGGACAACGGATATGCTCTCTCTATGCTGATGACACCAATACCTATTCACACACAACAAAAACATATAAGCTCTTGTGAATTTCTATTCTAACAGAGAAAAAAATGTAGCAATAGAAATACGATTTTGTTCATTTATTAATAGATGAAGGACCTCACCAACAAGAGGAGTAATGGCCGATGTGAACACTGAACTGCTCTGCACAATGAAAGTCATTCCAGCTCCGACGAAGATGGCAATGTAGCCTGTGACCCAGCTGAATGGAAATGGGAAATCTGCGCATACACACACGGACACATTGATGACTCACCGGTTATTGAGTCAAATTGAACTTAGTAAACATACTGTGTGAGGTGATACTTACCCGTGTTGAGAATCGTCTTGATGACTGTGGCTACCTGTCCTTTCAGCATGGAGTTAAGCAACTTGACGATAAAGATCAGGCAGGAACAGAGAACCAGCAGAGAAAGAGCCAGCAGGATTAGACCCACTGCCAGGTCAGAGAGTTTCACGTCTACGAAAAGATGACCACCTGCAAACACAAAGAAATATTTTCAGCATACATAAAGTACAAAAAAAAAGAAAAAAGATTTACATCTTGTGTATATGCCTTCTGTGTCTTTCTCTTACATTTGGTTACATTGAATGTGGTAGACACATTCTTCAGTGTGAAGGTGAAGTTCCCATCAAACCAGCAGAGAGTCGGAGAGGTGCAGTTCTCCGGACCCGGTACTGTGACGTTCTGTACGGTCTGAAACACCGTGGTATACACGTCATTACTGTTATTTCACGGCATCGCCTTGTGCATGGTTGACATGCATTGCCGTACATCTTACCATGTTGGTGTAGGTTTCGCACCATCTCAAAATGAGACTCTTATCTCTGGCTTCTGGGTCGCCGGTGGCAATTCCACTGATGACGGACTGATCCAGCTGAGTCAGAGGGGAGAGAATGAGTCCAACCACAACGAAGATAAGGACCTCATATAATTTCCTCTTATCTCACTGATAAACTTAAGGTCATCAAAACAGCACAATTACAGGCATTATAAGTACCACAGCTCAGTGTTAATTTCATACTAAATTATTTTTAATGTCCTTTGTGTGCCCTCAGTTCCAAAATAAATAAATAAATGAATAAATAAAGCTAAAGGGCAGACGACTTTTCTGTAAGATGTAAGCTCGCCACATAGAGCTCAGCTTGTTCTTTGCTCAGTTTTGACGTTTGAGAGAACACCAGGTGCTGACTCTGGACTCTGAACTTCAGAAGGGTTCTACACAAAGCATATGTGAAGAAAGGAGCTGGTCCTGATGGTGTCAAAGGGCGTGGGCTGTACCTCGTGCTTGCACTGATTATCTGTTGGAGGCTCCAACCAACATTTTAAACCCTTTCTCACTGTTGACTTTCTCCCAATCCTAATGGCTCAATGAATATGACTATTCAAATTACTTTCATGATTTGTACGCCTGTAACTGTTACTTTTCCAAGTATGAGAATAGGCTGACCCTCTAATGATAAGCATATATAAAAGCACCAGGCCTGGTACTCTACTGGTATAAGTTAACCTGCACTAGCTGTTAAAGGTTTGGACACATCCCCTGAACACAGTCATCTCCATCACACAGGTGTCCAAACTCCATAGCCAAAACTATCCCATCAGCAACTGGACTTTGAACTTCCTGTGCAACCCTCCATATTATCTCAAGTCAGGCCTACACACATCCTGCATCATATCCCTGAACACTGGCCCCTCTCAGAGGGGGGGGCGTGTAGCTCGCGCCCATATTTGTCAAACTGTGTACACAACAAACACCATTCGATTATCAGTCAGACAAGACAACAGACAGGACAGGGAGTAAAAACCCATTCCTGTATCTTGCTCCACCCGCAATTAAATTCTCGACACGTGGAGACAAAAACGATTGTCAGTAAATAAAATTACTAAATTATATTTATATTATAGTTTTTTTGTTTTGAGCCCTTCACCACTTACTCAACTACTTCAACTTATCCTGACCCATACACACTTTGAAGAGCATACCATACTCAGGGAACTATAATGCGTTGTGGAATGGCAGCCACCCTAAACGAGACCACAAATAAAAATATTCTGCCGAGAGCAAAAGAAAACAGAGGAGCTGTACTGATCTGTAATGAGCCACTAGTATTCAATTAATTGGGTAAGCCTGTAATTTTTTAAAAATCTGAATTGTGTACAAAATTAAGTTTAACTGCGCCATAATTAGGAAGAACTCCTAAAATGAGAAGTTCACATGATAATTTGTAAAAACTCTCTCTGTTTGGAGCTTGGAGCCTTACTCAAACTGATTCCCTCCCTCAGACATTATAGACTGTTGCATTCACTTTCTGCAGTTTATTTGATTATAGGATATCTGGTTATTCTATCAATGCTTTTGAAGACTTCTTGACTGATTCTTGTGACACTTTCTATAGAACCTTTAAAAAAAAAAAAGAAGACAGAAAACTACAGGAAAAAAGCTCACACCGCATGTCCTCCTAGTTGTAGTTAGTCTTTTGAGACAATAGAAAGGAAGACTTCCTACAAAAGTAAAACTGAAACAATCATAAGCATGTGGTTTTACCTTTATGATGGCCTCAGTAAGGGGGTCAGTGATCACATTTAGCAGTTCTGGGGCCTCTCCGCTTTCAATTTGAAAGGAGTCAATGATGAGCTCGGTTACTTTGTACAAATAACCACTGGCGACTTCCAGAGGCAGCAGGACCAGCACAGACAACCAGTTGAAGAAGTCGTGCACTGTGGCACCTGCAAAAGCCCTGGGAACAGGATAAATAGAGAATTCTGAATTCAAAATAACCCGATTAAAACACCCAATTACCCTCTGAAGCCTCCCATCACAGTGGCCCAAGGAAAAGCAAGGCAAACGGAATGCAATGCAAGCTTTCTGACCAACTTTTTGACCACTCACAGTGATATATTCCACAAGCTGAATTAACAAAATCAATAAAGCATTCTTTTCTCCACATATTAACACGTACAAACCACATTTGGACAATGTTGTAATCCATCCAAGTGCATGTTTACAACCTATCAGTTCACAGAGTATAACTTTCATTAAAAATCACCCCGGTGAATATAAAGGTAAGGATAATAACTAATGTTCAAATAACTAGTAGTAGTCCAGTCTCAAAAAGTAATATCTTCTAGCTACAGTATATCCATTCCAAATTAACTAAAAGAATGTAAAATGTGAGCTATAATTTCAACAAAACATTTCAAACCATAAGCCCTGATTTTTATCGTCTGGTCGTGACCAAACATGACTCATGACCAAAAGTTCTGGGCTTTACTCATAACAGTCTGTGGTGTAACACAACCATCACAACCAAACACCTTGCAGCTCTGCTACTCACATGTGTGATCGTTATATTTAGTACGCACTCGCTTTTGTTATGTCTTTAGTTTTTTTATTAGTAAACTGCTATGTTTCCGGGGTTGCTTAATCTAAAGCTGTAGTGTAACGTTGATGGGTATAAAGGTGACACCATGGGTGTCGTCAAATAAAAGTTAAAAATGACTTTATAGTTTCTATTTTATACATTTGTACATGATGTCAATTTATTTAGTGTCTTAAGGTAAAGCTGATATTGAAATTTAAAACCAGTTCACAAATAAGCTTTCTGACAGTCAAACAAAAAAGTTTGTTTTTTTAAGACAAAAAAATTTACCTGCGAAAGGTGCTACGGTCACCAGCCTGCGTCATGGCCACCAGAGTGTTAGTTACAGATGTGCCGATGTTGGTGCCCATGATGATAGGAACAGCCACCTGAACTTTTAGCACTGTTGAAAGGAACAGATCTTTCTTTTTTTTTGTTCATCTCATCTCCTCTAAAAACTAAATGTCCTCATCATTTCTGTAATTTCTATCATGGTGTGCATGTGTCAGTTGATTCCATTTGTACTCACGCCCAGAGGAGACCATGCTGACAACTATTGAGGAGGAGGTTGAGGAGCTCTGGACCAGCAGAGTGACTAAAACACCGATAACCAGCCCAGCCAGCGGATTGGACAAAACTGAGTTGTCCTGAAAGATGTCGCCTGCTGTTTTACCTGAAGAAGGTGAACATCAGGGCATGTGCACAGTCATTATAACGTTTTTTATACTGTGAACTGTTGAAGTGAATGATTACGGTTTTTATTGTTAAAAGCAATATTAATATTTCTAAATGGTAGAAATAATGAGGGCTTAATTCCATCCAGCTGCTCAAGTCTCTGTATCTCTGTGCTGTTCAGAAAGTTTGGCGTGATTAAAACAACAATTGTGAAATGAAGGGAATTTACCTCCAACAAGCTGAAAAGCCGAGCTGAGGACGTCAAGTGAACAGATGAACATATAGAGGAGGCCCAGCAGCAGAATCAGTTTCACCACTGACGCCACCACTCTCAGCACTTTTCCTTTGGTATCCAAAGCTGAAAGATTTCAGGACAATTAGCCTAAATGCAGTCCAACACAGATGAAAGTAAAACCAAAAGGGCAACCTGTTTCGATTTGAACTGATAAGTTAATATTGGCCAACATTTGAGAGCAACAGAGACAATAAGAACATAAAGAGGGTGATAACTCAACTGAAGTTTTTACAATTGAAGCTTTTACAGTTAAGCGTAAGAAAGAAAAAAAATCATTTCTGCCTTCAGAGTTGAGTTTGTAATCTATGGCAGTAAAATGCAACATGGCTGCACTCACCCCGCTAATCTTGAGTTAGACTTGCTGTCAGTGATATGCTGGCACAGACTCTGTTGTGCATACGGATCATAAAACTTTATAATACCTGTAATTTCTAAATCAATACACCACAGATTTATTTATTGCTTATGCACGGTTCATTGGGTGTATTGTATAGTCGACTTAAAAAGATATTTAAACCTTCCTGTGACAGTCGACAAAAAAACTAAACTGAAATAAAAACATTAAAGGAGATCACTTCACGAATTCAGTTAATGAGGATTTGAAGAAAAAAAAGCTGAATTCTCATATACTGTATGTATCTGTTCATTTTGAGATCTCATGACTAAGAGTGGAAAGTGTAATTTGAGCTGATTATTAATGGAAAATAATCAGTAAATGAATTTTATAACTACATATCTGTGTGTACATCTACACAAGACATATGCTAATTATTTTCCACAGATTTAAATCAGATAATACTTGTATGGTGGAGAGCGGCATCTCAGATCTTTACCTGACCAGGGGACCCCAGTGTCCTTCAGCTCTGGAAGGTCCCATGGGTCTACGTCCTCTGACTCCTGTTCTATTAAACCCAGAGTGGAGTGTGAAGGGCTCGCCATGACTTCTGGAGAGAAAATAGACAACCTTTGTAAGTGTCTGTTAATTCAAATGGTTGTATTTATGTAGTTAGTTCACTGATAGACATCCTGTGTGTGCAATATAACTGAATGTATGAATTTTAATGTCGAAACCTTTGCTTTTCTCATCGTGTTTTTCATCTTGGCCTTCATTTCTCGTGCTTTGGGGAGCCATTGACTGGAAAAAAAACAGAAACTATATGTGAGTATTAATTTGTATTTTTTCTATTAAACAGTGTCATCCAATGCCTCTTCAATTCCAAGAAACCGATGAGGATTAAAACACACACCGATACTTGATAACATATAAGATGATTGGAGGCATTGCTCTGTGAGAATAACAGAAAAATCTAATCAACACTGACTGCAATGTAGCTGTTGGCCAAGTCTAGGTAACAGTCATTGGAAAAATCTCACACATACACACACATCTGCTCACATGCCAAGTTATTGATTTCTCCGTCACATGCTGTGGTTGCAGTAAAATTCCATCCACAAAACAGTACGACAGAAGGAGAGCTAAATGAGTGTGTGAAAAGTATGGTGCGCGCATCAAATTATTCGCTGTTGGCTTTGAAATTGAGATTTTATTTCTTTTTGTTTTTTTATTGAAATCTTACAAACATAAAAGAAATATATTTTTTTAAACATTTCATTACAATAGAGATATAGTTGTTATATGTGTATCATTGATTAAGGTCCTGATTTCTTTGTTTACTGGTCTATGTGAAGATTTCTACTCATATTATACATTCCTTATATTTTTTCTGTTTTATATTGTGAGCATCCAGTGGTATTCACTTTTTAATTTCAACATACACATCCTCTTGCAGTGATACCACACTAATACCCCCCAGAGTATCAAGTCACATGTAAACTTTAAGCACTTTCTGTTTCTTAATTTAGAAAATTTGTATTAAGGTTGATAATTAGATAATTCAGTAATAATTCAATGCCATCTCAGCTACTTTACTTAGGTTAAGTTTTGAGTGAAAGTTATAAAGTATGACGATCATCATCTTTGTCCTCACCTGTGGCAGGCGTAGCGAGTCCATGAGTGCTGAGCTCCCTTTGGTGTCAGGTTTTAAAATGCTGCCTCCACAAAGGTAGGGTATAAGGCATCCGAGGAGTGTGTGATGTACAGCTTTCACATCACCAGGAACTCCTCCGTCTATTAGATAAGCCGGACACACCTTCAAAACCTTGATTAGTCTTACCTGACGTTGCTTTAACCTCTCCCTAGTTGTGTTGCAATCCAACCCATATTGTGTTTGATAATTACTCAAGTTCGTGGCGTCCACAGATGTCTCCACATCTGCCGTTAAACGCTAGAGCTAATACAAAAACTCTTGGGAAATTCTATAGCTTGTCCAGTTAAAAAATTTGGACATCCATTTAAAATATTCCCCTTTTCGTTCTTGTCTGATAACAAATGCTCTTTTTTGTCAGCCATGTGCAGCATCGGAGTGGCTTTGGCTACAGCTGGTCAACCCGTCGATTAAGTATGGGAGAGGAGTGGCAGAGAGAATGACTCCCCTGGCAAAGATTTATCAGGACCCCATGGGGTGATTCGGGGTCAGAGAGGGGAGCAGGATGTGCCCAGTGTCACATGGGTGCAACACTAGTTTGTCGATAAAACTATGTTCTATTTTTGGAGCATTTACGGTAAAATTCCATTGACTTTCTGAATATAGCTACCCACTGGTCAATACTTCAGATTTTCAATTACCTAAGTTTGGTATATAAAACTGCTGGTGGAGTTTGGTGCCATCCTGGGGTAAACTGAGGCCTCGGCTTTCCATAGAAGCTGTGATCAGACAGTGATAGGAGACACAGTGATAATTAACCTCTGTCTGTGATTCAGTAGACTCCACATTCATGTTCAAATCCTACTCATTTAAAGAGGCAATTAAAACAAAGCTGAACAGCAAACAAATCTGCTGAAGGAAATGCAGCAAGTCAGTAAAATGACATTGGGCTTGCATGCATATTGTTGACTTTTTTATTATATTTTAGATAGATAGATAGATAGATAGATAGATAGATAGATAGATAGATAGATAGATAGATAGATAGATAGATAGATAGATAGATAGATAGATAGATAGATAGATAGTCCAATTTTTCCCTACACAGATCCAGTCTTCCTAACCAGTCTATCCAAATGCCAGCATCCCTCTATTCACCTCTATTCACCTCTATTTCCCCCCCACCACCACCATGCCTGAGAGGTAATTTTAAGGTTGGCCTCTTCTGACATACAGTTACACTAAATGATTGGAGAAACAGTGGATAAAATCCACTGCTGTATTTAGGTCTGTCAATAAATATTAGACTGTTTGTTGTTATGCAATGTGTCTTTCTTCTGTCTTTCACCCCACAAAGCTGCCCAGGACAAATCTATTCTTTCTGCTTTTTAATAGAGCATGCACAAAAATGTAAAGAGTTATAAAGGGCAACAGCGTCATCTAGGCCCCATGATATGTTATTGCAGAATTTTGTCGTTGGTCTTTTGATATAGATCACTTTCAACTTACCACATGCAACTATTTTTTGTCTTGGCTGTAACCCTTATCTTACCCATCTCTATGTTAAAAAGACTGTATTTTGAGACCCCAAAATGCTGTGAGATTCTGTAAGAGATGAGACAACTTTGCTCTTATGTTGGATAAAACCCAACAAATTTAATTTCACTGGAAATTCCAGGATGTCCTTTCCAGATAAGAACAGATTATATTTATGGGTGTATTTTACTTTTTTAATACAACTGTGATACGGTTTTTCTTTACGGGCAGGATTGGCTCAAGCTTTCATGGAACCTGAGGGAAAATTTGATATTGGGTTCCTCTATTTCTGACAGTTACACTGATGATTAACATTTACCTCCCTACAATAAGTTAATTTGATTGTCTAATTTGTCTTTGGAAACATTTATTTAATACTTGGTGCAATGTTGTTGTTAGGACTGTGGATGACCAAGGAAGTAGACAACAGATTTGCAAACTTTTACAAAAAAAAGTTTTCAATGAATATTTGGCCAAATCAGTGACCCTAATGTTTACACAGTCCTATTTTCAGCCACACGTCTTTACCCATGTAATGGAGGCACACTGTGTTCCAAAAGCAGATAAATCAATAGACAATGGATTTACTGTAAACCTGTCGTCTGGTCTGATTTTTACCTTTAAAAAATACAGTAATAATGTGCAACAAAAAGATTTGTAGTGCATCAATTAATTACTATAGAAGTTAACAAATTAAGTATAGTTGTACACACCCTGCTCGCTATGTGAAAATGTTGTACATTGTCGTTCCTCATTGCTTTTTTTATTTTTTTATGATCTGGTAGAGACCCTTGTGTCTTTTTTTTCTACTCTGTTTTAGTATGAAGTCCTAAATACACAGAACTACGTCACATTTTTTCGCTTTGCAAATATGGTTTAACCACAAGCGTAGTGTGATAAAAATCAGAGAATTAACCGTAATATACACGATTTGGACATTGCTGTTACACTAGTGATTACATGATTAACACATAAGTGAACATGTGAGGGGGAAATGGTTCACGTTTCCCAATAACCTTTTCAAAATAAAAGGAAATAAAAAAAAATGTCGCCGTGTTCGAGGATAAAATAGAACTGTACAACTATTTAATAAAAACTAATTTCCCTTCAACTACTATGACTAGTAACCATTGAGAGTGACATTAAAGGTAATCTATCTTAATTATAGGTAAGTTGCACATGAATTGGAGTTTCTGTTCTACTTCCGGGTTACACAAGCGAGGTAGAAGCAATGACATTGTACCAAACATTAACTAAGTCGGTGTGTCGAGAGGCTAACATGTTTGTAATTTAAATGCTTTGACGTCTCAGTTAGCACAGGCATTGTCGTCAACATGTCCTCTACCAGCTCAAGCTTCTCGGACGAGCGGCAGCAGCAGACGGCACAGGTAAACACCTCGCTAAATGTGCTTATAGTGGGGTCCTAAAACGTTTGCTAACGCTAGCCAGCGTTGACTTCGGATGAAGCGCAGGGATACCATAACACCATACGTTTGAATGCTATCAGTCAAAGCGTGGGACTATTTGTTGTTGGTTAAGTTATCTGGTACCATTTAACAGACGAACACTTTCACCTAATTGTTGAGCTTCTTTATCGTGAATAAAAGCTTCGGATATACGTTGTTGTCGCGAATCGACAACATTTATTAAATATATATGTGGTCAAATGATCACTCTCTGATAATAACGTATAATTACGGCATTTCTAGTAATTGTGCGTAATCAAAGGAACCACGCTTATGTTAAGGTTTACGGGATTATTGCCTTGGAAGCTAAGGCATGTAGCACCAAATAAGAATCACCGAGGGGAGACAAATATGAGAGGCATTTTAAATTGTAATGGAGGCCAATGATAAGTGATAAATAGAACTTCCTAACATTGTAGTTCGAGGCTGAGTTGTATACTTAAATGAATCCCCGTTACCAGGTGCAAGAGACAGAAGTGACTGAATCATACTGGGAAGGAAAACAATATCCAAAAGTTAGAGCTATTACTGCCAATGACAAATAACAAACTAAATAGATGGATCTATCTAGTCTGAAGCCTGCAGATTAGCCTCTGCCCCTCTCTGGCCTTTTAAATTGCAGTCAGAGAGCACGGAAAACTAAAACCTGACTGGACAGAACATTTGGAAGCAGTAAAGAATGGTAATTGAATGGACACCTTTATAGAATCTCGTTAAAGAGAAGCTGTTTGTAATATACAAACAGCAATTAACTTCTTTACTTCGTTCCAACAGATCCGCGATACCACAACAATGAAGACATTTACAGACTGTAGTTATTTCTTGTATATAAACTTTAAAAAAGCATGTTGCAAATGATCAGAATTATTGAATGTGTTCAGTGCAGACTTGATCTGAATCTGAGGGGAAAATGGATTGAATGATAAGAAGAAAAATCAAAGTAACTCATGTTTTATTACTCAGACGCCCCTGGGGGTGGACTACATCCCCACAGAGGAGGAGAAGAGGGTCTTGAAAGAGTGCAACCAGGAGAGCTTCTTCTATAGATGTAAGTTTTTGTCTTTCACATGCAAGTCAAGGTAATACTGTTTTAAATAGATGAACAAAAGGGTTTTTAAGCCCCCGTTGGTTTGCTTTCTTCACAGCGGTGCCATTCTCGGTGGTAAGCATGGGCGTAACTCAGGCCCTCGTCGCCAGAGGTAATTTGCATCAACACCCTGATTTGAACTTTAATTCTCGTAACTGTCTGGCTGTAAACTGATAGAGATCTGTTCAACTTTCTAGGTGTTCTGTCTGCATCTCCAAGGTTTGGATCGTTACCTAAAGTGGCCTGTAAGTTCAGGATTTTAAGTCACAGAAGTACCAAAGTTAAACTGCTGTCTCTAGTCTAGAACATTTGATCAGTCTCACGCCATGTTGGTAAAACCTTAAAATAATAAATGTTTTGGAAGTTGGAGGTAGTGCAAGATCATTTATCAGCATTTATGTAAAGTGGGTTTACAAATTCCTAAAAATTAGATGTCATGGTAGTACAATCTCCTTTTCTCTGAGATTGAAAAGTCACTTTTAGTACATTTGACCCTACAGTTGCTGGTTTCTGTGGCTACCTCGCTGGAAAACTGTCATACATGAAGACATGCCAGGAGAAGTTTAAGAGGCTGGAGAACTCGCCGCTGGGAGAAATCCTCAGACAGAGGGCAGGAATGCCCCCCCAATAGTGAGTGTCACATGCACCACAATAACTGCCTTCCTGTCGTTTACAAACCGGGTTTGCCTATATCACGTTTATTTCTTTTCTTCTCCCTGTCCCAGTTCTACCCAGTCAGAGCTCAGCGACCCAAACACCCAAACGTTTGACCCCAATTTTAATCCCACAGTAGACCACAACTCCATGTCCAGCAACAGCAAAGATTACGGATTTGGCTTTAATCCTGAGTCATCCATGCAAATGGGAAAAGCAGATGACTTCAGCGCCCCAGGTATCAAATACAGGCATGGGCTACAGCCAGGCCGCATGTCAACGATCAACAGTTTTGCTTATCATTGAAATTATATATATGTTTTGGTCTGAACGGTCATTTACAGACTTCACAATCCTACTTTAGGGGAGGCAACAGTAGATCACTTAACCTTGACTCGATGTTTTGTCTAATCTGACTAAAGCACTCAGAATTGAAACAGATTACATATGTAGCATCTTCAGCAAATATACAGTATATCCTTTATTGTTAGCTCTATTTTAAGCACATACACATAGTAGGAATTGAGTATTATGACCTGCAGTGTGACCAATCGAGGTTCAGACATTATGTCACCTTTTACATTAAATGATCAATTGGGCATTAATATTACATGCATATTATGTCAAAATAAACTGATATAAACACAGATTCTACAAATATTAGGGCTTTTAAATGGCCATGAGTCGAAAATTGAGGTGTGGATATTCCGCTTTTGTCTTTTTTTAACCTATTCTGAGCCCCACCGGATAACCCTCTCTGTCCCTGCCATCGGCAGCCCAATCATATATGGATGACGATGAGCCCCAGAGGAAGTCCATCCTTTACGAAGACCTGCGGCTCAAAAACAGGGAGAACTACGAGGTCACGCTAATTCAGAAGGCCGACACAATGCTCAAAGCCACACCACAAAGAGAGCCAGAGAGACCCAAGAAAGATGGTAAGCTGCAGCTCCTGCTGAGGAGTGTTTTATAGCAAAATATGGTTGAGAAGACATTAAAGGAAACCTACATATTTTTTCCTTCTTTATAAAAGCCCTCTGAAAATGTAATTTCCCTTTTTCTAATATTACAGCTAAGAAGAATATCTACGGAGACGCGTGGGAGGACTGAGACTGTTTATCATTTAAGACATGATGTGTGCGCCGGTGTATCTAATAAGATGGGACAAACAGGTCTCAGTGATTGCTTGTCATATAGCTTCTGTAGATTCTATCTATGTGAATAAAACCAAACAGTGTGATGAATTCAATGTTGCTGCCTCGACACTAATATGACCAAAGAATCCCTCAATTCTGATTTGAAAAAAATAAACTCCCTTACCTACTAAAATATAAAATGAGGTTTTATTCAATGAAAAACATTCAGTTTAAATATAGAACAGCTGAGATACAACTGTATGAGATCAATGAATGCTCATCTTACTCGTGCCTTGTATCTTATGATGTCTAAGGAAATATAGATACAAATTGACTGGTCAGCCAGGTAAAAAGAACTGTCTAAAATTTTATTTGAAAGAGAAAAAAAATACTTTTCAAGTTACAAAACAAATTCAGATTTTTTAGCAACATTTAATGCCCCCTTTGAGTAAGAATATGTCTGTTGAAATCATCTGCTTGCCAGCAAAGCAGAATGTGTGTGGGCTGCTTTAATACCGTGCAATAAGCACTACTAAGGAACACTATTTACTTGAGATGAGCATATCTGTTAGCGGATGTTCTAGTATAGCATGTTGTTGTGTGTGCCAACTGGACCAACACAAGAATCAGTGATGACTGATGAAGAAAAAAAGGTTTAAGCTTCCATACATTTAATGAATATGGATTCTTAAGCAGAAACAAGGTAAAAAATGGCACTAAAAACATTATTACATTTACAACAGCACGTTTTAGACAGTACAAATGTGACAAAAGGCTGCGATACAAAAGCCCACGTGTGAGTTAACACATCGAAACAGAGAGCAGTCTTTTGGGGAGTTTTCCGACAAATGGCCACGGCTAGTGTTGCAGGCCATGATGACTGTGACCGTGGTGGCAGCTGTGGCCAAAGCTCTGGCCTGTGAAGCTTCCGTGTGCGTGGCCCGAGGCGTGAGCCGAGAGATGACCGTGTGGGCTGTGGCTGTGGGGTGGCACCGAACTGGACAATGGGCTGGACGGGTTCGGCCAGCCTTCGTAGGTAGCCGCCGCCGCTTTGACGCTGGACGCCGGAGCGTAAGCTTGGACTGGGTAAGACCCAGGTGTGGGGTTGACTTGTGGGAGGAGGGTTTTCCTCCTCTCCTCGGCGGAGGCCGGAATGAACAGGTCACCACAGGCGCTCTTCAGCAACCTGAACGGGATCCTCTTCTCCAGAACTCCCGCCCTGGCCTCGGACAGCTCCACCAGCGAGAGCCACCCTCTCCCGAACATCCACCCGACCAGGATCCCGATGACGTTGCAGAGCATCACGCTGCGGGGGATGAGGGCGGTGCAGATCAGGAGGAGCACCCAAGGGAGGGCAAAGGTGGGGAAGCTGACGCCGCACAGAAAAGCTCTGGCCGTCTTCGTGTGCAGGGTCGTCAGAGCCACACAGGCCAGCGTAACAGGAAGCAAGCCTTCCGTGGGTGTCTGCATGTCCACTTCCTGCAGGAAGTCCAAGAAGCTGTAAAAGAGGCCCGTGGTGGAGGACAGCAGGGGGAAAAGGAAGATGAACCGCATCGTGCCGAGGCCTTTCTCCACGCTGCCACACAGAAACAGCACGGCCGTGATGTTGAGCAGGAGCTGAGCAAAGGTTCTGTGGTAGAACGGATACACAAAGACCCTGTGGATGTGCCCACTCTGAAAAACACTCTTACCGATGCTGAGGATGCCTTGAGTCAAGTTAAAATAAGTCTGGATGCCAAACAGAACACATGACAGCAGAGTCACTAAGAGAACCCCGCTACTAAGAGCAGGAGTGACCTCTTTGAAAACATAAAGGATCTTCTTAATGTTACTTGTCAGGCTCATCATGCGGAAATAACTTGCAGCGATCACGGGTGACGAGTCTGAGCACACGGTTAATAAGTTTTACCAAACGAAGTCATCTGCCTGCACATTCCCCGGAACAGGAAGTATTTTTGCATCCTCAGTGCTTTGGGCAGATGGATACTTTACGGCCGTCCAGTCAAAGCAGCTCTAGGTGGACGTATAAACGATTTACGTTCACCAGTGCAAAAATGTATGAAAAACTCTTGACTCTGGTTCAATAGATTTCTTGAAAGTAACCCGGGAAGTGCGCTGTGGATGTTAAAAGAAACTTCATGTCAAAAGTATTTCAGAATAAAACGTTGTGACCATTCGTTGCATTTTGTTTGACTTGAATTTCTATAGAATATACAAATCTAAGTTGTATTCAAATGAAAATATAAAATTTCAGATGCATGTAGGTGAAAAGATCAAGAGGAAGACTTAATGGAACTCTTACTAACAACACTCTGTACATTTTGAAGGACCTATTGGCACACATCCGGTTTTCTTCTTTACGCTTTATCGTTCCCATCATATATGTATAATTTAACTACACGCAAACATGCAATGTTCAACACAGCATGAGCCAGGTGAAAGTCTTGGTTCGGTAGTTGCGGAACATTAGTGTTTTACGTTATTCTTGTCAATGACTATCTAGGACTAATTTGATGTACGGGTATACAAAAGGTTTTATTATAAAAAAACTGAAATTGGAGACCAAGAGAGGAACAGCAATGGACCTCAAAGTGCTTTGATTTTTAACTTAAATGTTTAAAAATCAGAACCATATTGATTAAAATATAGATATATTTGCATAAGGAACTTTAACCAATAAGATATGAGACACTTTAGTTTTGTAGGATAGATCCCAACTCTTTGATGTCTGACCCCAAAACAACTTTTTTTTCACATATGGAACACATGCTGTTAAACATGGTACATTTAATGGTAATTTCTGTATTCAATAAAAATAAAAAAAACTAATAAAAAATTAACTAACATCATGACCATTTGATATCTGTGTTCGGATTCCTTTTTTTATTTTTTTTTTATTTTTTTTAGAAGGACGTAAAGCGTCTCTCCCCCTTCCGGTGTCGTACAGTTAATGCGGCGGATGTTGATGTTTTGTTTCGGAGCCTGTAGGATGATGTGAGCGACCTGCTTTTTCTTACTGGTCACCATCCCCTCCGTTAAGTTTCTTCGTACAATTTTTCTCGGTAAGCTCGAACCGTTCGGCGGCATCGTGTCTCTCCCGGTGTCTCGTCCGGGAAGCGCGAGACCGAGTCGCGCGATGATGGAGGACTTTGATGAGATCTACGAAGAGGAGGAGGAAGACGAGGACGAAGACAGGGCCGCGGAAGAACAGCTCCTCAAGTACGCTCCGGACCCGGTGGTGGTCAGAGGGTCCGGCCACGTCACGGTGTAAGCACACGGCGAAGCTTGCGGGGATGTGGAGTAGAATTGTGTCTTTGTTAACTGAAGAGTAAGAGCCGCGGCCTTAGTGAAAACTAGCCGCTAACTGTGTTAGCCGCAGCTGGTGACCTAACGAAGTCGGCTAGCTGCTAACTTAAAAGCAGGCTAACCTAGCGACCAAATTGCCATTATATTGGCTATATTTAAACTGACCCGTCGTGTGTCTTTCTCGAAAGGAGGTAATTTTGCCACTGTCAACTCAAAATAGTGAGAAACTACGTATTAGGAGAAAGTCATGTCGGACTGATTAGACCAAGACATGGTTTGTGTACGCGCACGCGCGTGGTACTGACACTTAAGGCAGATACTGAAACTGAAAGCATTAGACACTAGAGTTTATTTAGCTCACTTGGTTCAGGTCGATATACAATCAACACACAGTCTAATAATAGACCACTAGGGTAAAAGACACAGTCCAAAAAGAATCAACATGATGTAAAAGTCATGGTTGTTTAGCTTAAAAGCCTGTTGTGAATTATCAGTTCTCTAAAACTCTCTTAAAGATGTCTGCTCTGATAGATGTTATGTCTAAGCAACAACTACATCTTGAAAGCAGAAGCGTGATCTATTATTAAAACCGTCAAAAATGTTTTTCTGTCCCATCTAACCCCGCAGGTTTGGACTTAGTAACAAATTTGAGTCGGAATTTCCATCAGCACTTACAGGAAAGGTGAGTACTTTTATTCCACCGTGCAAATTAAGAGCCGGCAATAAAATGGGACATGCCCAAACATGCCTTTTATGGGCACTGGGAAAATCTGCAAATAAGAAAACCATGGTCGGTTTAGATATTATCGAACATGTCGTAATGTCACATGTATGTGTGTGTTTTGGGTTATTGTGTCATGTAGTGTAAAAGCACTATGAGCTGTCAGATCAGAAAGTGCTCTTTAAGAGCTAATTTTTCTATTTCATCCAAAATGTTAAGAATAGATATGGAGGGGCTTTTACTGACTTTTAATTCCTAATTACGTTTGGTTTCATTTGATGTGAAAATTAGTGATTTAAAAAAAGATTAGTAAATAAAAAATTCTTTGTCGAGAAAAAGTACATGGCTGACTTTAGTGCCCAGTTTTGAAGAAACTAAGGAGTCTTAACAGAACTCTCAGTCTGTTCAGTGGGCTAATTTAGATATAGACCATCAGTCATGCCAGCTTCCAGTCTTGTAGAAATGGCAACACTGTAGGAAGAATTTGGGTTGCTTATGAATCAAATTTAGTTACGGTGGATTACAGAAAAAAGAGTAAACCAGGAGATGTTGTTACCGTGCGTTTAGAACTGAAGTTGACACTCATTAGCATTTCATGGATTAATACAATTTGATTCCTTAAAAATCTTTATCTTAGTAACGAATATCTACAGGACACCACACAACCGTGATCTCAGATGTCATTAAAGCTGAATAGGTGTAATGTCTATGTGCTTCCTTTAGGTGGCGCCGGAGGAATTCAAGGCCAGCATCAATCGCGTGAACGGCTGCCTGAGGAAGACACTGCCAGTGAACGTGCGCTGGCTGCTGTGCGGCTGCCTGTGCTGCTGTTGCACTTTGGGCTTCAGCTTGTGGCCCGTCATCTGCCTCAGCAAAAGAGTGAGAAAGCCACCGGGCTAGCCTCCACGCTCGTGCATGCCGCGCTCGGTGTGACGGCAAAAAACTAACATAGCTTTTACCTTCCAGACGAGAAGATCGATAGAGAAGCTCTTGGAGTGGGAAAACAGTAGACTTTATCACAAGGTGAGCGGTGAATATATCCGCCTTTTATCAAGGCCAATGGGACTGTTGTCTGATTGTCAGTGTCCTCTCTTTGCAGCTGTGTTTGCACTGGAAACTTAGCAAAAGAAAGTGCGAATCCAACAACATGATGGAATATGTAAGTACACGTTTTTTAGCTCTGTGTTTGTATTAGATTACCAAAAAAACTACAGATTTATTAACTCTGTATACACTATATAAAGGCAGTGTGTCCTAAGATCTCTATTGACACACAGCACAAAGGTTATAATACAGAGTTATCCAGTAATACACGTTTTAACCTGCAAGGATGACAAGTTTGATTGTAGTATGTATAGAAAAAAAAAGTATTTTTTTGTTGTTTTGGTGTCAAATCCACCATTTTTTAAATTTATGTTTATAAAAGGGTCTTTTTTAAGAACCTTGATTTGTATTTTCAAGTGAGCTTGAAGATTACAGTATCTTTCTTAGACTTTTTTCAAAGGTTGCACTGTAATCTAAATCTAAATTAATTAATCGTAGATGGAAAATAACTTCTTTCCTCTTTATTTTTTGCTGTTAAAAGAAGGCTAAATTTAGTTGTTTATTTGATTAAAAAAAGAAAGCAATGATAAAAAAGAGGGATAATAACTAATGACGTTTTGCTGTAGTGCAAAATCCTTGCAGTTCTTTTACCCTTTTGGCCATTCAGGAAACAAAAAGAGGTCGCCTTGTAAGTTGAAACAATACAGGAGAATGTCCGCCACTGAACATACTGTCCTCCCTTGTGTACCAGTGAGCTACCACCCCTTGACTTGACTGTAAGAGTCTGTTTCTCTTACTACTTGCAGGTTATCCTAATAGAGTTCCTACCTAAGATCCCCATCTTCAGACCGGACTAGCCTGGACCAGGTCTCTTGCAGAATCTCCGAGGCTGAGTAACCACTCCCCTTGAAATACTCCAATGCTTGTGTTTACATTGGTCCCCCACACCTTTTTTTTTTAACTTTTTTTTTTTATATAACCCTCGTCCTCACACAGACCTTATCAACATCTTTGTTTACAAACTTGAATGTCCCACACTTGTGTCTGGACTGAACGCAGTATTGAACTTTGACCTTTTGGTCGAGCGGGTGCACTGCTGGCTCGCACCAGTCTGCGGGATGCGTAGCGGGAACGGGAAGTGTAGCCACGAGGCACCGTTGCGGATTTCTTATGGAACTTTACACGTGAGACGGGACTCTATGAGTTATGTGAGAAGCAACTGGAATTTAAAAAAACTTTTTTTTGTGGTCCTTTTTGTGTTCTGTAACCGAGCACACAGCGAACGATGAAACGAAACACTTTCGTTTATTACATCCTGACTTCACCTTAAAAAAAAAAAACCTTAAAAAAACACCCCAGTGCTTTCTGAACAGTTGGAGTGCTCCACTGGATCTGAACGAGAGGCCACGGAAACTAAACCGGCTGAATTCCACCAAACGCCCTGCTACCACCAACGCTTCGTCCGGCCATCTTTCAGGCCACTGCAGACCTCACTGTGCACCACCCAGAGACAATCACACACTCTTGACTGCACTGTCCACGTGTGTGAGCGGGTCTTTGTGCCACGCTGTTCTACACTTGAGCAAGTTGAAAGGACAAGTTGCTGTTCTACACTTGAGCAAGTTGAAAGGACAAGTGAGAGATTTTAGCAACGAAAAAAAAAATCAATATTTGTTTACCGTTTTGGTGAAGAGAGACCATATTTGCTTTTTTTTTTTTTCTGTGTGCGTGCGTGTGTGTGAGTACATGTGTGTCCGATAGAGAAATTAGCAAAAAAAACAAGAGGGAAAAAAAAAGCGACAAATCAGAAATGAAGACAAACTCTTTACTCTGTTCTGCAGGGGTTCTTTATTTGATTGCCATAATCTTTTTTTTCCTCTCTAAAGAATTCTAAAATCTAACTTTTGTTTTTTTTATTCAAATTTTTTATTTTTTATCTGTGATCACGTGTCAACACTGAAGCACACGGTTACTACATCCGTCACTCCTTTATGTGTTCCTGTCCCGTTTAGACAGCTAACCACAGATTATACTGTATATCGGTGT